TCATTGTGCTATATTCAGGAATCTATTTTTGAGCTATTTCTATGGAAGCAAATAAACAATGACTACAGAATTGCAGAATATTATTCCCTCTGGGCTTCAGTTTCTGTTCCATATTATGAGGTTATTAGGCCAAGACATATGTGATAATATGTCAAATCTATAAAAACATGCAGTGAAAATTAGATAATATAAAATGAGCATGGTGAAAAAGCAAAAATTGCAACGTTTATGTCATTTTAACACTCATTGTTCCTAAACATCATTTATAGAATTTATTTATTTATTTTTAGGACTTTACTTTTATTTATTTCCTATGGCCTTCCACTTGGCATGTGGGATCTTAACCCACACCCAGGGCACCAACTGGAACCCTCAACCTCTGTCTTAGAAGTGCAGAATCTTAACCACTGGACCACCAGGGAAGTTCCCACATATAATTTATTTTAAGAAATAAATTATCTGTCTTTGACAAATTATGTTGTTGTTCAGTTGCTAAGTCGTTTCCAACTCTTTGTGACCCCATGGACTGCAGCATGACAGTCTTCCCTGTCCTTCACCATCTCCTGGAGATTGCTCAAATTCATGTCCACTGAATCGGTGATCACATCAAAGTATTGGAGTTTCAGCTTCAGCATCAGTCCTTCCCATGAATATTCACAATTGATTTCCATTAGCATTGATTGGTTGATTTCTTTGCTGTCCAAGGAACTCTCAAGAGTTTTCTCCAGCACAGTTTGAAAGCATCAGTTCTTTGGTGCTCAGCTTTCTTTATGGTCCAACTCTCACATCCATATAAAACTACTGGAAAAACCACAGCTTTTCTCTGATAATGAGTGATGTTGAGCATCTTTTCATGTGTTTGTTAGCCATCTGTATGTCTTCTTTGGAGAAATGTCTGTTTAGTTTTTTGGCCCATTTTTTGATTGGGTCATTTATTTTTCTGGAATTGAGCTGCAGGAGTTGCTTGTATATTTTTGAGATTAATCCTTTGTCTGTTGCTTCGTTTGCTATTATTTTCTCCCAATCTGAGGCCTGTCTTTTCACCTTGCTTATGGACTCTGTGGGAGAAGGCGAGGGTGGGATGTTTTGAGAGAACAGCAATCGAAACATGTATATTATCTATGGTGAAACAGATCACCAGCCCAGGTTGGATGCATGAGACAAGTGCTTGGGTCTGGTGCACTGGGAAGACCCAGAGGGATCAGGTAGAGAGGGAGGTGGGAGGGGGGATCGGGATGGGGAATACATGTAAATCCATGGCTGATTCATGTCAATGTATGACAAAAAACCACTACAATATTGTAAAGTAATTAGCCTCCAACTAATAAAAATAAATGAAAAAATAAATAAAATTAAAAATAAATAAATAAATAAAAACACAGCTTTTACTATCTGGATCTTTATCAGCAAAATGATGTCTCTGCTTTTTAACATGCTGTGTAGGTTTGTCGTAGCTTTTCTCCCAAGGAGAAAGTGTTTTTTTAATTTCATAGCTGCAGTCACCATCTGCAGTGATTTTGAAGCCTGAGAAAATAAAGTCTCTCACTGTTTCCATTGTTTCTCCATCTATTTGCCATAAAATAATGGGACAGTATGCCATAATCTTAGTTTATTTGAATGTTGGATTGTAAGCCAGCTTTTTCACACTCCACTTTCATCTTCATCAAGAGACTCTTCAGTTCCTCTTCACTTTCTGACATAAGGGTGGTGTCATCTGCATATCCGAGGTTATTGATATTTCTCCTGGCAAACTAGATTTCAGCTTGTGCTTCATAGAGCCCAGCATTTCACATGATGTACTGTGTATATTAGTTAAATAAGCAGAGTGACAATATATAGCCTAGATGTAACCCCTTTCCCAATTTTGAACTAGTCTGTTTTTCCATGTCTGGTTCTACCTGATGCTTCTTGACCTACATGCAGGTTTCTCAGGAGGCAGGTAATGAGATGAGGTATTCCCACCTCTTTAAGAATTTTCCACAGTTTGTTGTGATCCGCACAGTATGAGCCGAAGAACTGATCCTTTTGAACTGTGGTGTTGGAGAAGACTCTTGAGAGTCCCATGGACTGCAAGGAGACCCAACCAGTCCATCCTAAAGGAGATCAGTCCTGGGTGTTCATTGGAAGGACTGATGCTGAAGTTGAAACTCCAATACTTTGGCCACCTGATGCGAAGAGCTGACTCTTTTGAAAAGACCCTGATGCTGGGAAAGATTGAGGGCAGGAGGAGAAGTGAATGACAGAAGATGAGATGGTTGGATGGCATCATCGACTCAATGGACATGGGTTTGGGTGGACTCCGGGAGTTGGTGATGGGCAGGGAGGCCTGGCGTGCTGTGGTTCATGGGGTCGCAAAGAGTTGGACATGACTGAGCAAATGAACTGAACTGACACAATATGAAAATGCAAAAAGATGCTAAAGTGTATGTATTTAATTTTCTCACATCACAGATTTTTAGTTAATAATTGAATATACACTAAGTGGTTTTTTACATATGCATAATTTATTATATAATTCATTGCAACATCAATTTTATTTAAATATTAAAAGCCAAGTACATAGAAAATAAAGTTTAGTTGTCTATAGGTACTGTAGATATGTTCAGATTTTTGCTATTTTTTCAAAATCTTTACTCCGTTAATGCATTTAATGGGCTGTCTGTGTGTCTGTGTTATTATGTAAGGGTGAATGTTTTTTCATTTGTTTTGTAATTTATCTAATGAAAATAAAGGGATTTGTGAACTGGAAATTAGGAATGCTTGTTGATTAGTATCATTTAACTACAGTCTGTATTCCATTCTCAATCAACTTACTAGTATGAAGCACCAGATGATATACTACATCATGATGTCTGTTAATTATTCCTGAGAGACCAAGGATTCACCACCGAGGGACCAGACACAGAGATGGTTATATAATCTAAGTCAGGCAGGAGACAAGACTGAATCTTCCTGCAGATAGAACTGCATGCAACAAGCAAGTCAGGAGTTCTGGGACAGGTACTGATATCTTTCTTGTTTCTCTGATATATATTTGAAATTTCCTTAGGTTTTTAACCCTTTTTTGAAAGAAAGCATGTTATATAAACAAAGGAATATATGAAATAAACACAAAACTTCATTTTACTTAATTTTTCCAACCTGTTAATTTTAAACCAATATATTTGTTATTGTTGCTCAGTTGCTAACTCATGTCTGACTCTGCAACCCCACAGAGTGTAGCACACCAGGCTTCCCAGCCCTTCATTCTCTCCTTGAGTTTGCTCAAATTCATTTGCACCAAATTGTGTTGGTGATGCTCTCTAACCATTTCATCTTCTGTAGCACCTTTCTGTTTTTTCCTAAATATTTCCCAGCATCAGGGTCTTTTCCAATGAGTTGTATTTTTTCCAGTGATTTGGCCCTTTACATCAGGTGGCCAAAGTGTTGGAGCTTCAACTTCAGCCCTTCCAGTGAATATTCAGGGTTGATTTCCTTTAGGATTAACTGGTTTGATTTCATTGCAGTCCAAGGGACTCTTAAGAGTCTTCTCCAGCACCACAATTTGAAAGTGTCAGTTCTTCAGATATACACAGATAAATATACATAGTTCAACTCTTTAGCGACCCCATGGGCTATAGCCTGCCAGGCTCCTCTGTCCATGGGATTTCCCAGGAAAGAATACTGGAGCGGGTTGCCATTTTCTCCTCCAGGGGATCTACTTGACCTAGGGATCAAACTCACGTCTTCTTCGGTCTCCTGCAGTGGCAGGCAGATTCTTTGTCACTGAGCTACCTGGGAAGCCCTACGCTCAATTCTGCTTTTCTTAAATTCTCACAGAATGTAAGGGGACAGGTATGACCTTGTATATCACACAACTGGTCTCTGCAACATATAGCAAGGGGACATAAAATTCAATTGCTCCCGCCTCCCAAGACAAGTCACTCCTAAATCAAGCATGACTGGTCTCAGAGATATTCAAGAGAAATATGGATCAAATTAAAGAATGAAGCTATTAAAATTTTTAGAGTCTGGGATGGGGACACAGTTCACACATGATTGTCTCCAGGACTGTGAACATATGAGTATTTGTATCATGCGTCTTACGTAACTGATCTTGCATTGAACGTATCATGTTGAGAAGAGTAGACTAGGGCAGAAGGATCCACACGGTAAACCACACCACCTTTCTTGCCTCTCTGTCATCTGTGCTACCAGCTTCTCCACGATTGGGTCCCAGATGTTCTTCATCATCTCCCCTATGTAACAGCAGCTCTCAGAAGGGGGGATATTGCCCTAGAATATAACTGCCTCTCCACTCTAACATTTCATGCATAAGCACCCTTCCACCCTCTTATCCAAAAGTTATCACCTTTCTGCTCCAGTGGGTCTTCACAGCCTATCTCTCATATACTAAAGTTGAACAGACCTGAGAATTTAATGGTGAAATGAGTTCTTGTTGTGTTCAGAAACTTGCCATATCTCTTCCTACTTCACACTCATGGAAGATGAAGAAATTACAAAGCAATATATTCATTATCTACATCATTCGTTAACTATATTTCTCTATTACAGGAAATGACAACATTCATACATCATTGAAACGAAACAAAACAGATCATCTCAGAAGACATGGGTTGTCTAATTGTGAGAACTAATTGAGAGAATCTTGCCTTCAATCTGAGGACATAAATTTCTTAATATTTGATTAAAGTAGCAAAAATCATCATAAATACTACACAAATTGGTATGGAAATAGCCTGAGTTAGCATAGATGAATTTGTGCTACAAACACTACAATGGTTTCCAAATGTATCATTATTATTATCATTTTATCAGTTATATTCAATTGGAAATATTTCCCAAAGGATCAGTTTAACTTCAAGGCATCTCAGCATTATTTCTCTCTTCTTCTAATTACTGAAATAAGAAACAAATAGCAATTTAGTGATTAAGACAGTAAGATGATATTAACCCTCCACTTCCATTTCCTTTTCATAACCAGTTTTCACGTGTGAGGGATGACTGCTGAGAACTGCACTGTGTTTACTGACTTCATATTCTTAGGACTTTCCAGTAGACAAGATGTGCAGCAGGGGCTCTTCCTGGTCTTCCTGCTGGTTTATGGTGTGACTGTGGTTGCCAATGTCGGGATGATCCTGCTGATCAAGGTGGACCCCAGACTGCACACGCCCATGTATTATTTCCTGAGCAATCTGTCCTTCTGTGACATCTGCTATTCTTCTACTATCTCTCCCAAGATGCTGGCTGATTTCTTATCTGAACAAAAAAGGATTCCATACAATGTATGTGCCACCCAGTTGTATTTTTTTGGAGCCTTTGCAGATGTGGAATGTCTCATGTTGGCTGTCATGGCTTATGACCGTTATGTAGCCATTTGCAATCCACTTCTTTATACAATTGCCATGTCCAGGGGAATCTGTACCCAGCTTGTCGCTATTGCTTACATCGTAGGCTTGGTAGATTCAGCAATCCACACCTGTTGTACATTTCGGTTGTCATTCTGCAATTCCAATATCATCAATCACTTTTTCTGTGACAACCCACCCTTACTAGCCCTCTCCTCCTCGGATACATCCATCAATGAGATTGTGATGTTCACTTTCATTGGCTGTGTTGTGGGGACCAGCATTATCACTGTCCTCCTTTCCTACAGTTACATCCTAATAACCATCCTTAGAATGAACTCAGCTGAGGGGAGATGCAAAGCCTTCTCTACCTGTGCCTCCCACTTAACCGCTGTGGCTATATTTCATGGCACACTCCTGTTCATGTATTTCAGACCCAGCTCCACTTACTCCATGGACAGAGACAAAAAGGCCTCTGTCTTTTACACAGTTGCCATCCCCATGTTAAACCCACTGATCTACAGCTTAAGGAATCAAGATGTAAAAGGTGCCCTAAAAAAAGCAATCAGCACTAAATTATGTTCTGGGTGATACAGTACTTTCATCCTAACGTATTTAAAGATTCTGAGAGATGAAGCTCGGGAAATTTGACATAGATTCTTGTAGGCTTACTAACACAGCTTTTGAATATTTTCCATTACTTGTATTTTCACCTAAATCAGTTTAGGGAACAGCCATTTCACTAAACTCTCCAAACTAATGAAGAGTAGTGAAGAGTAGTAATAGGATCAGTTTGCTGTTTTGCAGAGAGGTTTTTTTTTTTTTTACACAGTTTTTTTGTTTTCTTGAAGAAGCCTCAATAAGATGTCATGCACAGAGCAACCTCCCACCCATGTTAATTCAACTTACCTTCCTAAAGGCTCCTATTTATTTAACAATAGCCTTAATAAACATGCTGAGACAGATGGAGTGTTAGTGGGTCAAATTAGGTTTGTTTATATCCTTTTCATGTATTTGCATCACCCTAACAAAGCTCCATCATAAAACTTAGAAGCAAATAATTTGTAAGAAAGATGGAATGAGAAATCTCTCTCCCTAGACTAAATATTCCATAAAAGTTTGGTCTTTCCTGTCTAATTCACTGTTGTCTACTCATTTAAAATGCTTAGCCTCAGGATGCAATTCACAGACACTTATTGAATAGATGAATGGATTAGCCTGAAAAACTAATAGAAAATTGAACCTTTGTAAATTTATCCAAAAAAAAATCATTTCCTTAATTTCATTCTAGTGTGTCCACTTTAGGTAAAATCCATCTGCATTTGTTTTCTTTTGACTTAGGCAAAACTGAGATTCTGAGACAGGAATTATTTGATGTAAAAATCTGCTCAGTTTCTCTTCATTCTGCTTCAGTTATTATCATCAAACCTCCCCTGATTTTCCAGAAGTCACTGGAGAAGACTTTGTTAACGAAAACTATTGCCTGCCTCATCAGTAAACTACGGAGGTTGCAATCATGAAGCTGCCTGGTCAGTGAACCGTGATGGGACTCATGATGAGAAAGCACAGAATAGGCTTTCTCAAGATAGGCTGGCCCCAGATAGCTAAGTTTGGTTCAGTTCAGTCACTCAGTCGTGTCCAACTCTTTTCAACCCCATGGACTGCAGAACGCCAGCCTCCCTGTCCATCACAAACTCCCAGAACTGATTCAAACTCATGTCCATTGAGTTGGTGATGCCATCCAATCATCTCATCCTCTGTCGTCCCCTTCTCCTCCCACCTTCAATCTTTCCCAGCATCAGGGTCTTTTCCAATGAGTCAGTCCTTCACATCAGGTGGCCAAAGTATTGGAGTTTCAGCTTCAGCATCAGTCAGTCCAATGAATATTCAGGACTGATTTCCTTTAGGATGGACTGGTTGGAACTCCTTGCAGCCCAAGGGAGTCTCAAGATAGCTAAGGTGCATATCAAAGGAATAATTCCAGTGAGCCCAAACTGTTGTATCTTCCCATACACAGAAAAAGTGCTAAATTCTTCAGTTTATCTGGTTTTCTTTTATTAAGAATAATCTTTTGGTATTCTGATTATCTGATGTTTTCCTCAAAAACTTCTATCTATCCTGGCTCCCCCTTGCCTCTTCAGAACTTACCTCTTCAGAACAGTTTCTTAGCACTATCTGAGATGCTGTGTTCCAGGCTTGAAGTCCTCAGAATGTCTGCCAAATAAAGTACGACTCTCAACTTTAAGTTTGTGCATTTTTTTCAGTGGACAACTTCATCTCCCCTGTGGGTTCATAGCATTACACTAGTCAAAATTTAAAAAAAAAAAGAAAGAAAGAAACTGAATGCTCTGTTGATATAATTTAAATTGTCAAGGAAGAGTTATTAACAAAACGTAGGCCCCTTGTGATGGGGAGGGGTGGGGTGATGCAGGTGGTGGGGAAAGAAGTAGTAGTTATATTAACATGCCACGGACAATAACTTATGCAGTCTCTCTATATCACTATGAAATAAATTGGAATGATATTCTGAACAAAATTGTAACATTCTGTTCTCCTGGTATCCAATTAGTAATTAATCCAGCTGGAAAAATAAAATACAATTTCAGGTTCTTGGAAATTTTTTTAAATTAAAATATAGTTGATTTACAATGCTGTATTAGTGTCATGTGTACAGCAAAGTGATTCATATTGTTTTTTTATCTGTGTTTGTTGTTATTTAATCGCTAAGTCATGTGTGACCCTTTTGTGACCTTGTGACCCCATGGACTATAGCCATGCGTCTCTGTCCATGGGATTTCCCAGGCAAAGATACTGGAGTGGGCTGCCATTTCCTTCTTCAGGGGATCTTTCTGACCCAGGGATTAAAGCAGTGTTTCCTGCTAAGCCCATATATATATATATATGTATATATACACACACATATACACTAGTGACTAAGAAGGTAAAGAATCTACCTGCCAATGCAGGAAAAACAATTAATTAAGCACACACTTGCATTCCTAACACCATTTTCTGCTGTTTAAGACAAAGCGTTCGGTTCTCATCACCCCTAGGCTGTCATTTCCTTCTTCCCCATTGAAAGCCCACATTTGCCAAGGCCTATGTCACCACTGACCTGTGCAGACAGCGCTCTTTCTGTAGTGTAGTTTCCACCGCCATGGGTGGACCCAGGGCTGCTTTTGTATTAGTGTACCTTCTGCCATAAGAGGCTCTCCCCTCTACCCATCTGGGAGGAGCGGACGTACACTGACTGGTCCTCGAACTCGCCTGAAAAGCAAACACAGAAAGGTTCTTCTGTATTTCTTTTAAGTGGCTTTGCATAAATCATCTGGCCACTCTCTTATTTGCAAATTGTAGAAATTCATATGAGTTTCTCATTCTCTTATAATTTTATTGTGCTTCATTTTACTGTGTGTGTGCGCTCAGTCACTCAGTTGTGTCCAATTCTTCGTGATCTCATGGACTGCAGCCCACCAGGCTCCTCTGTCCATGGGATTCTCCAAGCAAGAATCCTGGAGTGGGTTGCCATTTCCTCCTCCAGAGGATCTTCCCAACACAAGGATCGAACCCCTGTCTCCTGCAGCTCCTGCATTGGCAAGTGGATTCTTTATCACTGAACCACCGAGGAAGCACACACACAACACACACACACACACACAGAGGCAACATTACTCTACGTCTCATTTCAATCCTTTGATATCTTGCCATGAGCTTTTCAATCTCCACTCAATTTCTTATTTTTTTTCCTATTGTCTTTCATTCACTATTCTCTGTTTGCCAAATTCTTCATATGGATTCCATTTATCCTCCCTTTCTGTTTTGTACCCAGAGCATCAGCTGGCATGCTTACATAGAGTGAATGTTTTTATTGAGTTAAGATTCTCAGGTCAATTCTGGCCTTGGATGGCCAAAATCCCACTTGAACATGAAGCACAGATAACGCATATTGGAGTCAATGTCGTTCATCACTGACTTTCCACCTACATGCAGTGAAATGAAATGTCTGCTCTCATGCCAATAAACAAGAAATGTCACAGCCATCTGTTCTCTGGCCTCCAAATGTGAATGAGGGCTCCCAAAACTGAGAGCCAGCAGGCGCTGCCACCACCACAGGTGTTTGCTGAGGAGCTCAGGGAATGCAAGCCGCAACCATCTGGCACATCGGCCACTCCTTAAGGTAAACGAGGAATTAAGGATGCAAGCAATCAGGAAACAGAATTTGGCCCCAGATAGCAAACTCCAGGAGTTGGTGATGGACAGGGAAGCATGGCATGTTGCAGTCCATGGGGTCCGGACAGAACTGAGGGACTGAAGTGAACTGAGCTGAAGTGCATATGAAAGGAAAGAATTCAGTGAGCTCAGAGGCCTGCATCTTTCCATATGCAGAAGAACAATAAGCTCCTTAACTTGACATCTGATTTTCTTTGCCTCACAATAATCTCTGACGTTCAGATTCCCAGTCCCCTCTGTTGCAGACTTGTATAGAGCCTGACTCCCCCTCCTGCCTCCGTAGAGCGGTTTTCTCATGACTACTGAGATGCTGCTTCCTGGTCTTAACATTCCCATCAAGGCCTTCACATTCCCGTCGATTTTATGTGTAATGGTCTACCATTTTGAAAGTCATAATATACTTTTGCCTGAGATATTCTTAAGAAATAGAAAAACACATTACATCATTTCCTTTGTGTTTACTCAACTCCTCAATAGAACTCTAATTGCTCAGGTAAGTTTTCCATTGGGATTTGGATATCAGTGTGTGATCCTGAGATCTGAGATTAGAAAGCTAATCTCAAAAGCTTCAAAGCAACATATAAAAGGTCTTGCATTACCCTAAAGAACTGCAGCCTTCCTAAGGAAGGCACAGATTTCTTCTATGAACACAGAAGACCAGCCCACATGGGTTGTAAAAATTACACAATGGATCAATTTTTCTTTTTAAATCTTTAAGTGCTAAATTGATTTTTCCAGTGAAAAATGAACTAATACTGACAACAGTGTAGTAAGAAGATGAATGAGAAAGATAATAATCTGGTAAGTGAAAAGTGAAAGTGAAGTCGCTCAGTTGTGGCCAGCTCTTTATGACCCCATGGACCGTAGCCTACCAGGCTCCTCCGTCCATGGAATTTTCCAGGCAAGAATCCTAGAGTGGTTGCTATTTCCTCCTCCAGGGGATCTTCCCAACTGAGAGATCGAACCCGGGCCTCCAATACTGCAGCAGACTTTTCTTGTCTCAGCCACTAGGGAAGCTCACTTATTTTACACAAAGAAACTGATGGTTTGAGAATAAACATGCTTAGGGAATGCAGTTTTTAACTTCTGAAAATATATCTAACAAAAACAACAGCAGAAACAAAACCTAACATTTGACACATGATAGTGTTAAAGAATCTGCCTGCCAATGCAGGAGACGTGAGTTTGATCTCTGGGTCAGGAAAGTCCCCTGGAGAAGGAAATGGCAACCCACTCCAGTATTCTTGCCCGGGAAGCTGCTAGGACAGAGAAGCCTGGTGGGCTACAGTCCGTGGGGTCACAAAAGAGAAGGACAAGATTTTGCAACTAAACAACAACAAGGGCAAATCTTAAAACAAACCTCACCATTGCTGGACTCTGATTAGGAATCAGAATTAAACTCTGTGCTTATTAGATATTATTTATTTTTAAAGAATGGAAGAAGTTGTATATTAATTAAAGCTGAACTGATTTTATATTATATTATTTGTCCTGTCTTATGGTAATGCATTGATACCAACAACTGTCAATACACAAGTGAAAGGATTCAGGCAGATAAGAGGGCTGACTTTAAGAGAGAAGAAAAAAAAATGCTTAAAAAAATAATGATGTCACTCAGCCATTAAAAACAATGAGATAATGACATTTGCAGCAGCGTGGATGGACCTAGAATGTCGTACTGAGTGAAGTAATTCAGACAGAGACGAAGTATTATAGGACACCCTTTATATGCAGAATCTAAAAAGGATTGATGCAAATGAACTTATAAAAAAGAGAAAGAGATGTAGAGACTTAGAGAAGGAAATTATGGTTACCAGCGGAAAAGAGTAGGGGGGAGGAGAATGGGATTTGGGGATGAACATGTATGCACTGCTGTATTTAAAATGGATAATCAGCGAGGACCTACTGTATAGCCCAGGGAACTCTGTGCAATGTAGAGTGGCTGCCTGGATGGGAGGAGAGTGTGAGGGGGAATTGGTACATGCATGTATATGGCTGAGTCCTCTATTCACCTGAAACTATCAAACATTGTTTGTTAATCAGATATACCACAATATAAAATAAAAAGCTTAAAGAAATTAAAAGGAAAAAAGAAAAAGTGACTAAGGACTTCCCTGGCAGGTAAGCACATTGAGTTTTGGGGAAATAACTATACTATTTACAGTAATCTTCTAAGCTCCAACATTTCTAACATGTCCATTTCTGGGACAGTAGTGTTTATTGAAGAATGTCCAGTGTACAGAATGTCCAAACTCTGGACCTGATCTTTGATTGCAAAGCTGTGTAGTCCTGGACTATTTATTGGGCTGAAAGCATCAGTTCCTTCTCAATAAAACTGAGAGATGATCAGCCCTGTTCTTTAAACAGTTTAAAGAACCCCAGTTCTTTAAACAGTTCTGTTCTCTAAACAGAACTGTGAGAATTAAATTAGATAAGAAAGTTTACTTTGAAAATTATAAGATGCAAATAAATATATTAATGTCAGATAAACACATTTACCCAGAATTTACCTAATCTACCTAGAAACAGAACAGATACAGAAAAATAGGTGTTGAGCAATGCAGAATCTACAATTATTATCATGTCTATAGTTCATTTTCTGTACCCAAAAAATTGCTTCACAGATAGCTGTGTTGTGCTTATTAACTCTAAATGTATACACAGTGTTAATAAAGACATTTAGTTTTTTTAAGAACTTGGAACAAATTGAAAATAGGATGGATGGTTAAGATTTAGGTAATGTGCTTAGATTATGTTCTGAGACAGAGAATATGAGATGAAAATGAAAATGTATTCAAATCTGAAGTTGTTTAAATACTGAGTTTGTAGAAGCTATGAATAATGTAAATTGTTAAAGAAAAATATATTTGTGTATATAACATATATGCACACATACTTATCTTTAACTTTTATAGGCAGGAGACAGTGAGTACAGGGAGGCCTGGCATGCTGCAGTCCCTGGAGTCCTAAAGAAACAGATACTATTTAGCCTCTAAAAAACAACAACTGTGTATAGCATGTATAGGCATCAGAGATTTTACTTACTTTATTCAATATATAGCATGTTATAAAATGTACACAATATAATTAAAAGAACCACAGTATTGTAAATCAGGAATTCACAAACAAACTGACAAATAGATGCAAAGCTGGATTGTTACCATCAGCAGGGACAGAAATCAATTATCTCTATTCTGGGCAAAATGTGCCTGTCTATAGACAAGTGTCACTTACATTGCTATGGGTTATCTACAATTTACAGAGCTGTGGACTAAAGCACTGACAAGGAAATGCAGAGATAACATGGAGAGGTGGGTAGGTGAGAATTTATAACATCTTTTATAATTTTAATCAAAGGGGCCATCCAATATTCCTGAATATTATTATTGCATTGTCTAGATGAATTTGATAAATATGCAAGCATTTTGATTTCTCTAGTTGTATTTCATAGCTTAGATTTCAGATAACATAAAGTAGATATATGGATTTCCTCAGAATTACTATGTAGCCAACTTTAGAACAGTGAATGAACAAGATGGTGAAGATATTGAGCCTAGAAGGAAATTTAACACGATTTGATGAGGAAGGCACTGTCCTTTTCATTTTATAGGTGATGAAGCTGAAATTCTGTGATTACTCTGCCTGCCCAAGACTTTACAACTGCCAAGTGGCAGAGTTATGATTCAGTTACTTACATAACTAATTCTGAATCTTACCTCCTCTATTTATCAGTGGATTTCAAGAAACTTTAGCTAGTTTCTTTAGTCTTCGGAGGGAAATTCTCAGCTCAAGGCAAGAAATAAAGAACTTCTACTCCTCTACATATATAATGCTTCAAGAAACAGAGATGTACCTATTTGTTGTATAAATAAAAACACCACAAAGGGTGTGGTGTTACTCAGTTTGCTATGTAGCAATGAACCTCAATCACTTGACATTGTTGACAGATGAGAGAGTTGATGAAATTAAGAAATTCAGAGTTCACCCGCTGGTTTGATGGTGTCTCACTTAATAGGGGGAAAAAAAAAAAAATATATATATATATATATATATATATATATAGCTTGAAGAAATAGAAGTATAAATAATCAATATAATTAAATAAACTCTCAGGGAATTCCCTGGCCATCCAGTGGTTAGGACTCTGTGCTTTCAGTATAAATAGACAGGTTCCATTGCTCATAGGGAACTAAGGTCCTGCTAGCTACATGTCTCTGCCAAACATTTTTTTTTAAAAAGTAATTAACTAATTAAAAAAAAAAGTATTTCAGTTGAAAAGCTATGCTTATACTAAACTTACTTTACTTATGCCTAAGTGTTATGAGGGTGCCCAAGTGGATTTAGAATTGCTATTCTAACTACTTTAATTATTTTCCTTTTCAGCTACTCTTGAGGTTATTATCAACATCCCCATCGGTACCCTGCTGAAATTCCAACCTCCAGGAACACTGCAGAGAATGGAGGTGGAGAACAGCACTGTGAAGACACAGTTCTTTCTCTTGGGATTCAGTGACCACCCAGAACTGCAGAGTGTTCTTTTTGCTGTGTTTTTGTCTATCTACTCTGTTACCCTGATGGGGAACCTTGGGATGGTTTTATTAATCACAGTCAGTCCCCCTTTGCACACCCCTATGTACTTTTTTCTCCGCATCTTGTCTTTCGTAGATGCTTGCTACTCCTCAGTCATTGCTCCCAAGTTACTTGTGGACTTAGTTTCTGACAAGAAGACCATTTCTTACAATGGCTGTGCTGCACAGCTTTATTTCTTCTGCTGTTTGGTGGACACAGAGTCTTTTATCTTGACTGTCATGGCTTATGATCGGTACATAGCCATCTGCAACGCCCTCCTTTACACTGTTATTATGTCCAAGAGGATTTGCCGCCAGCTTGCAATTGGAGCGTTTTTAGGGGGCACCATGAGCTCTGTGATTCACACCACTAATACCTTTCACCTGTCTTTCTGCTCCAGTGAAATTAACCATTTCTTTTGTGACATCTCCCCTCTCTTCTCTCTGTCCTGCACTGACACCTACACCCATGACGTTGTACTGGTGGTCTTCGCTAGTTTAGTGGAAGCTCTCTGCCTTCTAACAGTTCTCCTCTCTTATATCCTCATCATAGCAGCCATTCTTAAAACAGGATCTGCTGACGGAAGAAGAAAAGGATTCTCCACTTGTGCTTCCCATCTGACCGTGGTCTCTATCTACCATGGTACCCTGATCTTCATTTATTTGCGTCCCAGTACTGGCCATTCGCTGGCTATTGATAAAGTGACCTCTGTGTTCTATACATTGATTATACCTATGCTGAATCCCCTCATTTACAGTCTAAGGAACAAAGATGTGAAAAATGCTTTTAGGAAAATGATTAGCAGGAAATTTCTTTCTTAAGAAAGGGTGACACTGAGGCTGACAAGTTTTCTACCCTGTTTCTTGACATTATTTTTAACTAATGGAAAAGACAGTGTAATATGGGTGTTCCCTAATTTTACAGGCAATGAAGCCTCAACCACAAACTTGGACCAGAATCTAATGTTAGAGCCAGGCCCTGTTACATATGTCTATATCTTTATCATTTTAACTTTGATTTTTTTTTTCACACTCACTCCTTACAGGTGGAAGTTTAAATTAGTCTCCTTTATGGAAGATAATTTGCTAATATTTGAATGAAATATACAATTCACCTGGAATTTGAAAATTAAATATGAAAGTATCATTTAAACCAGTAATTCTACTTCTAGTAATTGAGCCTGCAATAGTTTACCACTTTCAAAGTATTCATGGCATCAGAGCTTATAGTCAATTCAGTTCAGTTCATTATCTCAGTTGTGTAAAACATTTTGCAACCCCATGGACCACAGGATGCCAGGCTTCCCTGCCCATCACCAACTCCTGGAGCTTACTCAAACTCATGTCCATCGAGTCAGTGATGCCATCCGGCCATCTTATCCTCTGTCGTCCCCTTCTCCTCCCACCTTCAATCTTTCCCAGCATCAGGGTCTTTTCAAATGAGTCAGTTTTTGGTCAGGTGTCCAAAGTGGAGTTTCAGCTTCAGTGTCAGTCCTCCCAATGAATATTTGGGACTGATTTTCTTTAGGTTTGACTAGTTGGATTTCCTTGCAGCCCAAAGGACTCTCAGTAGTCTTTTCCAACATGACAGTTCAAAAGCATCAATTCTTTGGTGCCCAGCTTTCTTTATAGTCCAACTCTCACATTCATACATGACCACGGGATAAACCACAGCCTTGATTGCTGCTGCTGCTAAGTCACTTCAGTCGTGTCTGACTCTCTGGGACCCCATAGACGGCAGCCCACCAGGTTCTCCCGTCCCTGGGAGTCTCCAGGCAAGAACACTGGAGTGGGTTGCCATTTTCTTCTCCAATGCATGAAAATGAAAAGTGAAAGTGAAGTTGCTCAGTCGTGTCCAACTCTTCATGACCCCATGGACTGCAGCCTACCAGGCTCCTCCATCCATGGAATTTTCCAGACAAGACTACTGGAGTGGTTTGCCATTTTCTTCTCCAATAGCTTTGACTAGACAGACCCTTGTTGTCAAAGTAATGTCTCGGCTTTTTCATATGCTGTCTAGGTTGGTCTTAGCTTTTCTTCCAAGGAGCAAACATCTTTTAATTTCATGGCTGCAGTCACCATCTTCAGTGATTTTGGAGCCCCCAAAAATAAAGTCTCTCACTGCTTCACTTCTCTAATGATCAGAAATATGGCAGAAAAACATTGAAGTACATTAAATTCCAAGCAAAATAGAGTGTCAATAGATTGCTGTGAAAAACCAACTTTCACCTATATGATGTAAATTTATTATACTATCTAAAGACTAGTTTCATCTAAAATTGGCCCATTTTATTAGATCTACTTTGTGGTATAAAAAAGAAAAAAATTAAGCCGATTAAATGGAAGGCCAACAATGGAATCTACTGAGTGATTCTGCCTTTCTGAGAATTTGCATGGTTGAATAACGAATTATGGGAAAATTATTTTAGGAATCAATAACTAAAATAAAAAAATTTGCAAGAATGCATAATAACTTTTCTATCTTGAGCTTTTGCAAAATAAGAAATCTGCACTAAAGACTTTGGTATGTTCTAGCCTGTCTGCTTCAATCCTCATCACTATACTCCCCTTCTTACTTCACTTCCGTCTCATATAGCCACCAGACTGATTAAAAGATATCATCATACAACTGCATTGTTATCAATGACAGTGTGTAGTCGGCTGATGTGTGTTTGTGTACTCAGTCACTCAGTTGTGTCCGACTCTTGTGGCACCATGAACTATATCTTGCCAGGCTCGTCTGTTCATGGACCTCTCCTGGTAATAATACCGGAGTGGGTTGCCATTTCCTCCTCCAGGGGATCTTCCCCACCGAGGGGCTGAACCTGTGTCTCTTGTGTCCCCTGCACTGACAGGCATACTCTTCACCACTGTGCCCCTGGGAACCCCGTCAGTGGACTAATACTGCAGTCACACTCCTGTGTCTTGATCCCGTAATCCCTACCCCTGAAATGTGTGTGTGCACCTAGTTGCTCAGTCGTGTTGGACTTTTTGCGGCCCCATGGAGCCCGCCAGGCCCGTCTATCCATGGAATTCTCTAGGCGAGAATACTGGAGTGACATGCCATTTCCTCCTTCAGGAGATCTTCCAGACCCAGGGATCAAACCCATGTCTCCTGCATTGCAGGTGGATTCTTAATCTTCTGAGACATCAGAAAAGCCCCTGCCACTGAAATACTTGAGTACAAATATGACATAACAAGCAAATGGTAGATTTGAGCATATGTCCAGTGTCAAAAATAGAGAGATACATATGGGTCATTGGCTGTATAACTATATTTGTAAAAACATAGTGATATGAATGTTCAACAATTCAATAAGCACAAAGTTCTGTGTTAAAGACAGAAGCTGCAACTTTTCACCTCCCTGGATATCTCTCTCTTTAGAAATGTGCTATGAGCCATTTACCAATATTTATCAATATCAGTAACCTCAGACATGCAGATGACACCACCTTTATGGCAGAAAGTGAAGGAGAAGTAAACAGCATCTTGATGAAAGTGAAAGAAGACAGTGAAAAAGTTTGCTTAAAGCTCAATAAGAAAACAAAGACCATGGCCCACCTGGTCCCATCACATCATGCCAAATAGATGGGGAAACAGTGGGAATAGTGGCAGACTTTTTTTTTTTTTGGAGGGGGGTCCAAAATCACTGCAGATGGTGATTGCAGCCATGAAATTGAAAGATGCTTACTCCTTGGAAGGAAAGTTATGACCAACCTAGACAGCATATTAAAAAGCAGAGACATTACTTTGCCAACAAAGATCCGTCTAGTAAAAGCTGTGGTTTCTCCAGTGGTCACATATGGATGTGAGAGTTGGACTGTAAAGAAAGCTGAGTGCCAAAGAATTGATGCTTTTGAACTTTGGTGTTGGAGAAGACTCTTGAGAGTCCGTTGGACTACAAGAAGATACAACCAGTACACCCTAAAGGAAGTCAGTCCTGAATATTCATTGGAAGGACTGATGTTGAGGCTGAATCTCCAATACTTTGGCCACATGATGAGAAGATCTGACTTTTTTGAAAATACCCTGATGCTGGGAAAGATTGAGTGTAGGAAGAGAAGGGGGCGACAGAGGAAGAGATGGTTGGATGGCATCACTGACTCACTTGACATGAGTTTGAGTGGACTTAGGGAGCTGGTGATGGACAAGGAAGCCTGGCATCTTGCAGTCCATGGGGTCACAAAGAGTTGGACACATCTGAGCAAATGTACTGAACTGAACTGATGATCTATTTAGCAAAGTTACTTTAAAACAAAACTTTTCAATACCACTGAGCCCACTGCATAAAAAAGGACTTCAACCAGATCACTTGTAATGTCCTCTCCAGCTGATACACCCTTTGTCTGCAATATATGAATCTATTGCTGTTTAAATCCTCTCCCACTATTGAAAAGAACTAGAAATTTGGAAAATGTTGGGGGAAAAAACAGGAATCATTTCATCTTCAAAGGAAAAAAAAATGTAGTATTAATGTAGGCTGTATAAACCTGCAACAGTGGTGGCATGAAGCTTTGGATAGTATGTGTTTCAGGAAGCCAGAGGCTTTTAATTATGGCTCTTGTGTCACCTCTTATTCAAATTCAGCCTCTCATAGAGTCCTCAAAGAAGTGGATATCCAAATTTATTAGCCTGCCAGTAAGTAAAACTTGAATAAAAAGCTAACAGTAAATAAACACAGTATAATAACTCATCTAAAGAATATTTTTGTTGTTCAGTTGTTAAGTCATGTCTGATTCTTTATGACCCCATGAACTGCAGCACCATGCTTCCCCATCCTTCACTATCTTCCAGAGTTTGCTCAAGTTCATGTTTATTGAGTCAGTGATGCCATCCAACCATCTCATCCTCTGTTGTCCCCTTCTCCTCTTGCCCTCAATCTTTCCCAGCATCAGGGTCTTTTCCAATGAGCCAATTCTTTGCATCAGGTGGCCAAAGTATTGGAGCTTCAGCTTTAGCACCAGTTCTTCCAGTGAATATTCAGGGTTGATTTCCTTACGGTTGACTGATTTGATCAGATTGATCAAACCAGTCAATCTAAAAAACAGCAAGATGCAAATAATTAACTTAGCAACTGTTGGTGAGGATGTGGAACAGCCATGACTTTTACACATTAACTGTAGAATAAGAATTGTTGCTACACTTTGTAAAACTCTAAAGTGAAGTGAAGTGAAGTCACTCAGTCGTGTCCAACTCGTTGCGACCCCATGGCTATATATTCCATGGGATTCTCCAGGCCAGAAAACAAGAGTGGGTAGCCCTTCCCGTCTCCAGGGGAGTCTTCCCAACCCAGGGATCAAACCCAGGTCTCCAGCATGGCAGGAAGATTCTAAATTGTGTCTAATATAGCTGGACATATACATGTCATATAACTTAAAAATGCCATTCTTTGAATGATACCTGAAAGAAATGAGTGAATATGACCAAAAAAATATTTACACAAATATATTCTTAATTACATTATTTGTAATAATCTAGAACTAAAATAACTCAATTTCATCAACACATTACTGAAGACTTGACAAAATTTTAAGTGATGTTAAATAATATACATTTTAGGGTTCATAGTTCATAAACTTTGTCACAACCCTCAGGTTTTCCCTAAATCATGAATGCAACCATGAGTAATATATAAGTAAATGGTATGTTCACCTCCAGTGAAAGTGTATAGGTCAAGTATATTGACACCTGCTCTTGATTAAATAAATTACTTTATGGTAAGCTTCAGTTCAGTTAAGTCTCTCAGTCATATCCAACTCTTTGCGAACGCATGAATCGCAGCACGCCAGGCCTCCCTGTCCATCACCAACCCCCAGGGTCC